ACAAGGTTTCGTGCAGTCATTTAAGCAAGAATTATTCACACTCAAACTGGTTTACTTCCATCTACTCAGTATATACCTAGCCAGTCTATTACAAATGTCTTTCCTATTCATCTTGTCATCTTTTCTGTGTTGTTTTCAGTGATTAGTTTCTTCTTTTCTGTTGCTGCTTCTCCAACTTTTTGTGTGCCTATACCTATATGACGTTCATTACCTCCTCATCTGCTCACTTCATCTCCCCAGCCCATAACTACAGCACACTCCCATCATTCACATAAAACTATGCTACTCATCTATTTGTAGCAAAGATTGTATCAGCTATTCAGAGATTTTTTTGGAGGAGGAAGCAATGGGGATTAAGGATTGGTGGAAATAAATTGCCTCTCTCCTTGGGTAACACACATGTAAGAAAACAGTACTCGCTGTCCAGCTCTCTGGGAAAAGTCAAGCCCCTGTTTCTGCCTGTGCTTTTGAGGACTGTATTATCATGCATATTAGCCTCTCATCAGCTGGGACCCAACCAGCCTGAAGTGTTAGTTCACCACTACCTACTGGAAGAACTGGCATTCATTTTCTCTGCTTCTTGCTTTCATCACCCACGTGACCATCACTCCACCACAAATTCCTGTGTGTTATGATTCATGAATGTACTTTCTCTATCCTATCCTCTCCCCAAATTCCTCACTGTCTCTCTTAGTAAGGCTCTCCATCATCCTGCTGTCTATCCTCTTCACTCACGAGACCCAGAGGCTGACACCACTACTTCCCAGCTTCCAGAATGTGCTCCTTGATGCCATCTCTTCACTGCTACTCTCACTGCTGCCCAGATTCTGGGCAACAGATGCTAAAAGCAACGAGTCTCTGTGGTGTTCACAACGGTGCAGTTTCATGAAGACACTGCCACCAGCAGTAACACTGCTAACAGGCCACTGCGTAACAGTGTGGCCTCTTCTGTACTGGCTGGGCCTTTTCACCCACAAGGGCATAATATGCTGCAAAACAAAGGCTCAGTTTGTGTACAACCTGAAGAAGTTTCCCGGGCACATGGGTTTTCAAGACTGAGCCTTGAAAAGGCCACAGATATATGCTTCAGTACTTGTTCCAAAGATGAAAAAACCCCCAACTCTTTCACTGAATTTCTTCCTAAATAAGGTTTCCCATAATGTGCTTTTGCACCCAGACCTAGCCAACAAATTAATGTATACAAATTCCTACCCTGTGCATATTCGACCCCTGTGCAGGACCATAAAGATTTTAAAAGTGCTCTGCTAGGGCATGGACCTCACCTCCGTAAGAATTTGCTATGGAAAAAGCACCAGAAGAGGATGCAGGCACTTAAAACAGAATTTAACTGAACTATCTAAAATTATAAAGATGTCTAAATCAAAATCTGCCAAGAGGGCATCAAGTCATCTGTCCATGCATGGGGGAAATAAAATGTCCCTAAAAATTTCCTGAAATTGTTTAAGGGCTTTAGAATTCTAACCAGTAGATGAAAAAATACTGTGTTTCTTCCTACTTGCCCTTCTGAGCAGTGGGCCAGCACAGGGGTTGAATATTCTGCCAGACGAAGGTATGCCACATGGTTCTGTACCAAACAGCAGTTCCATGATGAAGGCACTGTTCTGCAACACAAGAAATACCAGAGCTTCTTGTTGCGAGCACCACATCGAACACCTTCAAATTCCTTGGCAAGCACCCTAAGCTCTGTGGTACCACAAGGCTAAGAAGCAATTCCAGCAGTTCATTTTCCTGCAAGAATTCAAGAAGGGCAGAAACTCTTCTCAGTTCTTTCAAAATATTCAAGCCAACACTTACCTCAGGAGCAGCTTCTGGCACTGAAGCAGACAGAATCAATTTTCAGTTCCAGTTTGGGAAGATAAACTCTCAAAGAGAAGAAGGTGCCCAGCCATGTCCCTACACTTAGTCCTTCTCAACACCCAAATCTACATGGCTCTGTGTTCAAATCTTAGTAATTCAGGAACTGCTTTTCTGCCACTATGACAGAAAAAGCCTAAGCACCTAAAACCAGGTTTTATACCTCTGAAAAGAACTGAATGTTTACATCTTTTACTTGGCTTGGGTCTATGCCAGCTTCACATGGATCAAGAATTAATACAACTCTGAAATACACCTAATTCTATTTGTAAAGTTAGTTCTTACAAATTGATTTTTACCTATTTATTCAGAGACTTGGCCAGTTTTGGTTTCATGCAAGTTAAGGCACTATTTTCAAGTGGAAGGACAGACAGAAAATTACATATTAATGGAAGAAATGGTATGAAGCTATTAGCAATAAAATAACCTCCCAAATAAAAAGAGGTATTTTCCGCGTATCTGATCAAGTACAATCAGTGAAGAGAAGCAACATAGACAGTGCACTAGTCTTGCCACGTTACAAATCCTTGACTCAATAGGCCTAGCAAGGTAATAGAGATGAAATAGAAATAAATAGATGAGCTGTCAAGTTTTAAAGAGAGAACAACTTTAAAACTTGAGTTCCTTAGAAAAGCAAGCTTTAATATGTCACATAAATTGTCAGTTTCCCTGCTCTCGCCAAAAAAAAAAAAAAAAAAAAAAAAAAGAACAAGGAAAATGGGAAAAAAGGAAAAGGAGAAACTTCAGAAAAGGCATCCTTATGAAAAAGAAATACATAAGATAGTCCTTTGCCTACTCCTAAGGAAATAATAGTACATGTGTTTATCTGCAGTAAGGGCACAAACCAAATACCCACACTGCAAAACTCTGACCCTTCCCAGCAAAAATCAAAGCATAAACAGCAAAAATTCCCCGCATTCAAGCCCTGGTCCCTACCTACACTGAGACGACTTAGTGTATCACCATAACCAAGTTCCCATTGTGCCTTGCTACGTCACCTTAAAAACGGCAGCACGCCTTGCATGTCCCAATTGGGTTAGAGCCCTGAGCTACCCGAAGCTTCACCATGGTTATGAGACAACTGCGAGTTCAGTCTACGCTATGGCTGCAGTGTCACAACTCTCCCTATGTGACCCATTTATGGAGAATGTGATGTACACACACGCTCTCAATCACACACACGTGAAAGGTAAAAGAATTGTACTCCTACAGCACCTAATTCTTATCTGGGAAATAACCCCCCACTGTTATTTGGTAAATAAATGGAAGAATAAAAACGATGTTACAAACATGACTGTAATCATTTAGCTGTTTATTTCTTGATGCATCTCCCTCAGTTTCGGCAGGAGAATGAGTACTGCTGTTTTCATTGTGATTTTGTAAAAAAAAAAAAATCTCAAGTTTTTTTCCTCTTTGTCGTAGTTCAGCGGTGTGGGTATTTGCAGAAACCGGTTAAAGAAAAGGGTTTTCTCCGCATTTCACTGGTATGTTGTGCATCAGAAGACACCTAAGCTAATTCGTAACAAAACCTAAATCAGAGAAAGAACCCGTCCCGGGCGCCCCTTTGAAACTACTTTCCACTCAGCTGGGGGCCTCTGCAGGAGAGGGGAGAGCCGGAGAGGAGGAGAAGCCAGCACCCGGGCGGGGGGGCCCCGAGGGAGTTGGGGGGCCCCGCGCCTCCGCACCCGGCTCCTGGCGTGGCGGCTGGGCGAGGGAAGCTGAGGGCGAACCTCGCACAACCGCCCAGCCGCATTCCCTGCCTGTCTGGAGGAGAGGGGAGAGGAGGGGAGATGGCGGGAGGGGGCACGGCTGCCAGCCCCGGCGCGGCCGCACAGGAAGCCGCCACGGGCCGGAAAGCGCCGAGCTCCCCTGCGACGCGCTGCCTGGCAGGCGCCGATGCGAAGAGGAGGAGGGAGAGGCGGGGGAGAAGGGGGGGAGAAGCGGGGGTGGGGGAGGCTACGGGCTCTCCCTCTCCGGAGCCTGCGGCCCGGCGCTGCGATGAGCGGGGCCAGGGGCTCCCCCCTCCGGCCCGGCCCGGCCTGCGCGAAGGCACGGGCTATGGCGAGCGATTAATTCAAGATGGCGCCCGGCGCCCTCCGCCTGCCCCCCCCCGCGCGCCGCCATTTTGTCTCCTCCTCCAGACACTCTCCGAACCCCCCTCGGCCGGGCCCGGGGCCTGGCACCGACCTCGCCCGCCTCCCACCGGGCCCGCAACCGCCCCCCACCGCTTCTGCTCCCCCCACGCCTCCGCCCCCGCTGCCCAGGGCCGCGTCGGGAGCGCGGAACTCGCCGGCCCGGGCCCTGCGGCCCGCTCTTTCGCCGGAGCCCTGGCGCGGCCTAGCTGCGGCCTCCTCGGGGCCTGCGCCGCGGCCTGGTGCGGGCAGGGGAAGGCCCGGGCCGGGCCAGGCGGCGGGGCCCAGCCCCGGGGCTGCTTACCGTGCGGTGGCGGGCGGCGGCGCTCGCCTCGGCGCGGCCTCTCTCAGCGCGACTGGGCCGAGCGCGGCGGCGGCGGCGGCGGCTGGGGCGGGCGGGCGGGAGGGGAGGGAGGGGCCGAGCTCGGAGCTGAGTGGAAGCGGCCAAGCTCCCCGGGCCGGGCCCTGCCGTCAGCACGTCACGTCACTGCCCGAGAGAGACCCAGGAAAAGGCGGAAGGGAGCGCGCCGCCGCCGCCGCCCGCCGCCTCGGGCCAGCCGCCCGCCGGGGCCGGGGCCGCCGGGGGGGGCCGGGGGCCGCTGCCGGGCGAGGCGAGCCGGCGCGGGTAGGGGTGGTGGCGGGGGGTGGGGGGGGGAGTGGGGGTGGGGAGGCGCGGCGGCGCTCGGCTCCCCGCGGCTCCTCCTGCCGCCGCCTCCGCCGCAGCTCGGCCGCGAAGCGCCGCTCGGGGCTCGGCGTGCGCCCCCGAAGCGGAGCGGCTGCCCCGGGGACCCGCCACCGCCACCCCCCCACCCCCCCCCCCGCCTTTCCCCTCCCGGCCCCTCCATGCTGGCGCCGCCCGGACGAGCCTCCCCCGCCCTCCGCCTGCCGCGGCCGCCATCCCGCGGCGCCGGGCCGCCGGGCCTGCGGCCCAGCCCCGCTGCGGGCCGGCGGGCTCCGCGCTCCCGCCGGCGTGTTTAACTCGCGTCTGCGCGCCGGGGGACGGTCGCAGGGCGTGGGGGGTGGTGGTCGTGGTGGGGGTGGTGGTGAGGGGGTGTCTCTGCGTCTGGGTATTTTTTTAAGGTGCGGAAACTCCGCGCTGGGGCGGACGCTGGTCTCAGGCCGAGGTTTCCATGGCCTCGGGTCACCCCGGCGCGGGGCGCGGCCACCAGCGGGAATTATCGCGAATAACAACAACAAAACAGCAACAGTGAAGCGGTGGGGCTGGGTGCCGGGGGGGGGGGGGGGCGGTGACGGGCGCGGCCGGAGGCCCGGGTTTCCACGGGGAAGGCGGCCCCCTCCACGCGTGACGGGACGGCGCCCCCCGCGGCCGCTGGCGGTTATGTAAGGGGCTCCCCCCGGGGACAGCGGGGCCGGTGAGAGCCGGGGGGGGACCGGCTTCTGTGGACGGTAGAAATTTGGAACAGTGTGTCATTGAAAGCAAAGTCCTGGGTAACAGTTTTCTCATCCTTGTCATGAAAGTTAATCAGAATTTAATTTTTTATTTTAAGAAAAGAATTGCTGTCGATCCACAAAAGATACAGCTTGAAGTTTCTGACGCATCGGAAATGAAATACCGTGTGTAACCTCATGGAGATGATGAGGTACATTCAGTTTGATTGGAGTTCTTGTGCAATGGTGGGGTCAGGGCTTGAAGAGGCTACTTTGTGTGCTGGTTTTGCCATTTCAGTAAACTGTAAGGAAATTGGCTCTTGCACTTATCAAATGATGCAAATGTGACTTATCTGGCCGAGAACAGCATACATGCAGTGTTTATGTTGTCAGTGAGCCTTTGGGTTCAGCTTTGACTCAGCTTTAATTTTATGTACTCATCTTTTCCATCTTAACACCCAGGCTTAAAAAGTAATTAGGGCAATGCTTGTAGTTTATTTCAGTGTAGCATATGGTAAACATCTACCCCACACCATGCGAATTTTAGCCATGATACTGAGAACAGAAGAGGAACCATAATACTCTAAAAATTAATTCCTTTTATTTATTTCCACGAAGGTTGTAGTTAAACTTTTGTGGTATCAGCCCAGACCTGTATTGCAGGAGAGGGCCCTAAAATATTAACCTTAAAAAGAATTGCTGAGCTTGACCATTCATGTGATATTAATGTAAAATAGTCTTAAGTAAATATTCTTGTCAGGATGGAAGAGGCTGAAGGAAGAAGTGCAGAGAAGGACAGTGGTAGATTCATAATCAGCTGTAAGGTAGATCTAATATAGAAAAGTAAAGAATGGTCAAACTATTTGTTGGTTTTATTTATGTATTGATAAGATCCTTGGTTGGAACATGTCTCTAATAGCCTGTATTATACAATGTTTTCATAGAGGCTAGGTCATTAAAATGTTTAAGGGGCTGGAGCACCTCATACATAAGGAGAGACTGAGAGAGCTGGGACTGCTCAGCCTGAAGAAGAGAAGTCTCAGGGGGATTTTTTCATGTGTATGAATACCACATGGAGGAAGTAAAGATGGCAGAGCCAGGTTCTTCTCAGTGGTGTTGAGAGAAAGGATGAGAGGTGATGGAACAAACACAGGAAATTCAATTTAAACGAAAGGGGAGAAAAAAAGGAAAAGGACTGTGAAGCTGTTCAAACAGTGGAACAGATTTCCCAGAGAGATTGTGAAGTCTCTGTCTTTGGAGATACTCAAAACCCAACTGGACACAGCTTTGAGCAACCTGCTGTAGCTGACCCTACTCTGAGAAGGAGGGTTGGACTAGATGATCTGCAGAGGTACTTTCTGACTTGAACAATTATACCATTTTTTAAGACAGTTTTTCCAACAAATGTAAAGTGCATAGTAAATTATAATGAACAGCAGAATGGATATCCTGTAAGGCCTTTGGTTCCAAGGACTTTTTATTCAGTCTGTCATTTGCATAGGGAATGGAAGTCTGGAATACAGGGCACATTACCCTCAAAGATTCAGCATATCCCAAGTGTTATGTCATTGAAGGGGAAGACCTCAGAAAAGATGATGCCATTGAAAAGCAAATGGCTAAATGTTTTGTGAAGACTTGAATCTTAACTTCTTGACTGGTTGGCCAGTCACTCTGTCTTCATATAGCCATTTCACCCTTATCCCCTTGTTTTTTACTACTCAGGTGCCAGATACCAGCAGCTTTTGAGTCATTAGAGAGACATTTTGTCCTGATGCAGCCATTACCTCAATGTTGTCCCCAGCCACTATGGTTTCCAGTAGGCCACAAACATCCTGGTATGATCAGGAACAGGGTAGCTCCCATCGGTGGAGCTGCCAGAAAGGAAGCCCTGTTTACAACTGATACTCAGCCATTTCTGCTCTCAGAGCTAACAGAGGAGTCCAAGGGCAGAACCTACTTGAAAACTGCAGATACAATAGGTACGCTTGCACCACTTTGTAACAACATAGGTTCACTTACTTGCACAAATGTTTTTGAAACTTGCACTTTTTAGAGTGGAGTAGGTAAATGGTAAAAATACATTGTAAGCAGTGGGATTTCTGACCTTAATTAGTGATTAGACTGGGTCAGATTTGATATACCAGAGAGAGAATATAGTTTGTATATAAAAGTTTATAGCTCAATTGTTCGCAGCCCTGTGAACAGAGCCCTTACCTTCCAACTTGTAATTTTACCTGTGATCCAGTGTTTCTTTATATTTTTCCCTAGAGCTCATTTTAGTGTCGCTCAGCAGTAGGTACCGTGCTGTATCTGACTTTGCCCTCACAAAAGCAGATGAACCTGGTGGCTATTGCTGAATGTCCTTTTAAAATTATAGTTGTGCTTAGCAGCCATGGAGTTAGTTTTGAAGATACATGCTGGTGATTTCTTACTTAGACACTTAATTATCATATTGGCTATTATGATTTTACAATCAGGTTCCATCTGGGTAATCTTAAAAAGAGTTAGTGTGCCCTTCAAGTAATGAAAAATTGGTATAACTGTAAGTTAGTGTGGCTGATAATGATTGCATCCATCTCAGTGACAATTTACATGTGAATAAATTGTAAAAATAAGTGAAGAGCCATTTTCAGTCACAGTTCCCTCCTGTTCATCTTGTGTTTTATTTAGATCCCTTTCCAGGTATCAGCAACATGCTTAGCAAACACCAGTGTGCTGAGTAACGCTGCCAGATTTCTCAAGCTCTAGCTTCTCTATTGCGAACAGCCCTAGGATGTAAGATGCTAAGCTGAGGGTCATCAGCTTTGTGTTGACTGGTTCAAAGGCCTTTACCTAAAGTTGTGTTTGCTTCTTGATCTACAATGAAATTGAGTTATTTTATCATCCAGTTACATTATCATGTTTCCTTTAACAGCAGCAATTTTTCAACCTTGACAAACCCACCAACTGGTGATGAGTAGTCATTTGGAGTTGAATCAAGGTTACTTCACTGTACAGCAAACATACTGAGCCTGCTGAAGTGACCTGTTCTTGTTTTTCCTATGCAGCCACAGTGATGGTGGGAAATTAGAGGCTGGGTATGAAAGAAAGGGGCAGCGGGGTGATCTAATTTCTCCCAGTATAGTCTGCTGTTAATATATTTTCATAGAAATTCTAAAAATCATTTTTCTTCCAGTCTGTATTTGAAACTTGTCTACAAAAAGGGAATACTGTTGTCTTATCCAAGAATCTAAAGTATTCCATAACTTTTTCTGGTTTAGCTGTTAATCATATAGTGCATGCAGCAATATTTACCTGCAATCATTTGATTAAAAAAAGGATGACTAAGGAGGATTAACAAGATTGCTTGTAACAGTGGTAAAAAGGTTTACTTCAAAACTGTAGTAGCTGCTGACTTACTGTAAGAAAGAGTTGGAAAAAACATCTTCATTTTAGCTGGCTGTGGTCCACCTTTGAAACTAACTACACAAGAAACAGGAGTTTGGTGTAGTTAAATACAAAAACTTGCATGTGTGATTCTGCGGCAGTGCTTGTAATACCACGATCCACTAAAATGCTTGTGATATCCAGGACAAATGAATTAACTTTACTGGTAACATCTCAGCTATTCATCCAAGCAACCCATGGTAAGTATCGAAGACTATATGCATTTAAAAAAAATGTGTATTTCAAAAGAACCCAAACACCCAAGTGTTTGGTATTCTTGTTTTCATACTGTTTGCATCACCACTAAAACCGTCCCTGGCAAGGATTGTAGAGGACAAAAAACTTTGTAGTATGTTAGCAACAACATGTTTTAGCAAATGTGTATTTCCATCAGTAGATGAAAAAGGGGTGGTGGATTAAGTGTTTCTGTTTTACACGTGACAAAACCTGCAAAATGTGTTTGTAGTTTATGAAGATGAAATAAAGCCGTTTTCAGTCTACGAGCAACTGCAAGGTTTAAATTGTGAACTTTTGCTGGGATAGGTTTGCCAGCAAGGCCAGTTTGTTTATTAGAACTAATTTACTCAGGAAGAAGGGTGTGTGGCATGAAGCATGTCAACTATTGCATTCTGCAGTAGAAGCTACAACTGTACTAGGAACATTTTTCATGCGCAGTGTATTTGGAACAGTTACACTGAAAAGGAATCCTTGTAAAAATATGTCCCAAAGTGAAGGAAGTATGAGGGCTAATCAGTCATTCTATTGATGCTATTTAATCTACAGGTCCAGATAACCCTGGAATCTTAAATGTCACAAAGGAAAGGCTGTCAGACCAAGTCTGCTAGACCTCATAAGCTGTTTCTGGACAGTAATCAGTAGACAGTGCCTAGTGAGAAGTACAAGTATAGGGAAAATGTAGAGTGGTACGTGCCTCAGAATACACTCCTGCCAGCCTTTGTCAGCAGAGGAGGTGGCTGGTCCATTTACAATAATAAATGTAATCTCAAAAGGTTTGAGCCGGTTCAGAAAGGGTGATACCAGGGCCAGTTTCCATTTGAGCAGGCACTAATAAGTCAGCCCATCAGGTTGAAGTCAGTCCTCAGCAAAATAATGGAAAAGAAAACATGGCATTTCTTTGATAAATAATAAAAGGGCAGGAATATAACTGATACCATTAATTTTGCTTTAAGTAAAAAAGATCTTGGCAAACTCACTGAGCTTCATTACTTAAGTAGGTGAGAAGCTTCAGCACAAAATCAACTGAATAGATGGAGTGGACTCTGGTAAGGTGCTTCATACTACAGTCTCAGTTTCAAAATAATATGTTAAATGGCTTAAAAACTGATGGACTGAGATACCTGGTGAAGTAAGTAACATTACAAAAACAACCAAACAATTGGATTGTTCACAGAGGTGGAGCCTTAGTTACAGCCCAACACTTCCATTGTGGTCTAGAAGTCAGCACAGTATTGCCACTGATTTTATTTGTGGCTGTGACAAAGATGCTGGAGTGGCTTAGTGTGGATGATAAGGAAAAGACAATAATGCAAAACAATCCCACAGATGGGATTACTTCATAAATGGAACCACTTAAATAAGTTATGTCTTAATGTGTCCAAATGCAAAATTACGTATCTAGAAAATATTACTGACTCCTGGAAAATGGATACTTCAGAAAAGATTAAAGGGACACAATCACAAGACACCTTCAAAAGAGTTTGGTATACATGTGGGACAAAAAGGGCTAATGCTGTTTGGGGATGCTAACAGTGGAGTAGATATTAGAAATTACCTGATTTTATATCTGCTGGGTCCCCTTTTTTAAATAGACTGAAAACTGGAGAGGCCACAAAGAATGATAAAACGATTTGGAGGCTTAAAAAGTTTTTAACTTAAATAACAATAGGAACGAAAAAATAGAGATACATGAATTATATGATGCTTTCCTGGTAATGGGAAGTCACTTCAGTCTAGAGAAAGGCATAACTGAAATTGGTAGCTGGAAGTTTAAACAAGATGGATTCAATTAAAAAACTTAGACTTGACTTTCTAAGTGGTAAAACGTGGTCTACCACAAGCATAATGTAAGGGATAGGATGGGTTCTCTTCCCCTTGATGCCTTCAGCTCAAGACTGGATGGCGTTCTGGCATTTTTTTCTTGAGTCAAAGTCCTTTGGTTCACAAAGGAGCGAGTGAAATTTAATGCTTACACCACAGAGAGATTCATATGAGGCCATCTCGCAGTTCTCCCTTCCCTTTTCAGAAGTGGAAGGAAGAATGGGTATCTAGAAGAATCTGATTTCTTGAAGTCATATTTTTTAGTATTCTGATGTTTTCTACTTAAGAATAGTTTCAAATCATTCATTTTTCTCTGTCAAGACACACCCAGGCCTAGTTGCTGTGTAGTAGACAGTAAAATATTCTTGTCCCTTTTTGTGGTCTCCATAGGGCTGTTCAGAATTTTTAAACAATTGTCCAGACATCAATTTGCATTTGTAAGCTAAGTTAATGTAATTATCTAATGCAAACTTGTGAAGACACTCAATTTTGTAGAGTCCTCTAGTGTCCATGATTGGGTGCTTGCACTCAGAAAGCAGTGCCTTTTTTTATTCTTTCCAGTCTCAGATATTACAGGATTGAGATTTCTGAATACTACCAAGCCTTTTACTGCTAGATGGAGACCCTATTCCTCTTGTTCTTTGCTGACTGCTTTAGAAAAGTGTCTTTCTACGGCCACCACAAGAGAAAAGTGCCACCAGGTTGCCATTACCAGCCCTTCATTATCTCCTAGCAACCACTCGGTCCTTCACCAAACATGTCCCAGGCTAGATGGTCTCAGGGATTTCCATGCAGGACCTGGAAACATCCAGTGAAGAATGGGCTGTGTCCCACAGAAGGAAATATGTCAGAGATTATTTGATCCCAGCTACTGTGCCCAAAATGGGTCTGGAAAGAATGTTCTTTAATTCCTTTCACTTGGGGCAAAAATCCTAGCAAGAAAACAGCTGCTGGAACCTCCCAAAGCAGCGCTCGTTATTGTTATCTACTGTGACAGAGGCATGTGGCCATGCACAAAATCTCAATAGATGATGCAAAATCCCTTGAAACTCCTACAGAAAAGTGAAGATGGCTCAAGTCATCTGGAATTGCCAGGATGTTTTATCCATGGTATGAAGTGTTGAATCATATTATGACCAAGGAACCAGCATCATCAAATTCAGCAAAATCACAGCATAGGACAGATGCAGGCAGCCAAAAAGGACACAACGTGCTCCAAGGTGTGAAGCAATGTTATGAGGAGTTGGGGCTTGGCATTCTTGCTGGACACAGGAATGGAAGGTGTATATGATTAATCTTTCTTGCGGGTAGGAGATCACAAGCCTATAAAACTGCCCAGGTCTCACTATGTATATCTGATCTATAGGCACCAAAGGGCAAGTGCTTTATAACCTTGCATTCTTCTCCCAAGGCATAATTCAAATGGTTTGACTTTGGCATTAAATTGGTCACAGGCTGCTCACAAGTAGAGGCTTCCCTGTTCTCCAGGTGGCTCTATTAGTTATCTGCCTCACTAAAGACAGGATAAAATCAGCACAGAACTCCAGGACAGTCACCTACCATATCACCAAGCTTCAGCAACTAGCAGTCCTGGGTTTGCGGCACGACCTGCTCCCACCAGGCAGTATCCTCACCATGGAGCTCGAGTCCAGCTGAGTGCTGAGGCTTGGCGTGCTGCCCATCACCTCGCCCTCCCCTGGGAGGCCGTGAAAGCGCTTTGACCCATCCATCTGCACTTTGCCAGTTACTGCTGGTCTTCAGGATGCTCCCTGAGAGACCTGAAGAGAGAACTGGCTTGGTGTTGGCGGGAAGCTTCATGTAGCTTCTGGGAAACAAGGCTTGAGAGGCACAACCCGGGCTGGAAAGGTGCCCAGGCTGCCACAGTGCCTGGGTTTGGGGTAGCATCTGTCCTGATGTTAGAGCAAGTGTCTGGGCTACTGAGACAGCCACATTACAGCCCATACCAACACATGCAGCCCAAAGCCACCACCTTGCTTCAACCCATGGAGTTTAGGGGCAAAAGTGCCACACGCCTGGGGGTGCTGAGCCACCCTGTGGTATAGCTCAATAATCATCTCTAAGAACAGACGTACTCTCCTCTTTTATTCGGTGTGGCTGAATTTGACTCTCTCTGCCAGTCTCTATATCTAGGACAAATTTAGACAAAGTTGTGATGCTCACATAACTGCCCGTGCATACAGGCTCCCAAAATGCTTGGGAGCCAAAGGCTTGTGTGCAAAGGAAGATGAATGAAGCTGTAAGAAATACTTCCTTTTGATGAGAAAACCAGTTGCAATGAATGAAGTAATGAAACAAAGATTGACCTCAACAATCATAGATTAGTACACAAAATTCTGTTAAAGAAATTGCCATTAAAAAATGCTTATCAAATAAACCAGCAGTCTTTCAAAGAAGGTGTTCATGGAATTATAAAACATAATTTTCCCAAGTCCCAACACAGACATTGCTGGGATCTGTGTAATGCTGAAAAATAATGTGTCAGAGGTAAATCTATGAAAGGAACATGGCATCATGTTCATTTGGAGGGAGTTTATCATGCTAAAGCTGGGATATTAAATAGCAAAGGAGTGCGAAATACACAGGCTGAACAGGGAAATGTGATCTGAGAATATCATATTTGTCAGTGTTGCTTGGGGTCTGAAAAATGGATTCAGATTTAGACAGACCTCCTATTGGTTCCTTATAAAAAAAGAGTAATTAAAAAATATGTTCAGACATACCAGGCTGATGACCAACTGACATGGATTTTATTCAGATATTATCATGCATCTTAGAGAACTGTGTCCAATGTAAAGAACCCCCAGCCTGTTTGGACCCAGAAGAGGAATGCAAAGGGCTTGTGTTTGGTCTGCCTGGACTGTGCTATGCAAAATAGTTGTAGAGAAAGATCAGAAGAGGGTTCAGATATTTGCAGTCTTCATTATGGTGGTGTTATACAAAGTCAATAGATTTGAACTGGCGTAATAGGTTTAAATCAGTGAAAAGTTTGGAAGGCCAATATGAACTCTCTACAGCTGTGTGTCTCTCTCAGATAACCTATACAGAATAATAGAATCACAGAATAGTTTGGATTGGAAAGTACTTTTAAAGGTCATCTAGTTCAAGCCCCCGGCCATGAGTAGGGACATCTTCAACTAGACCAGATTGCTCAAAGCCCCGTCCAACGTGACCTTCAATATTTCCAGGGATGGGGCATCTACCACCTCTCTGGGCGACCTGTTCCAGTGTTTCGCCACCCTCATGGTAAAAAACTTATTCCTTATATGTAGTCTAAATCTATGCTCTTTCAGTTTAAAAACCATTACTCCTTGTCCTACTGCAACAAGCCCTGCTAAAAAGTTTGTCCCCATCTTTCTTATAAGCCCCCTTCAGGTGTTGAAAGGCCACTATAAGGTCTCCCCGGAGCCTCCTCCAGGCTGAACAACCCC